CCCACATTTCCCAAGGACAGTTCTCTTCCTTACAAATTGCCTTAACCCTTTTCTTATCATTCTTTTCAAACTTAACTTCCACCCTATTCATCCTTACTTCTTGTTTAATAGCTTGTTTCAATAATTCCCTATCTTTGAATAGCATTCCTACAACCAACTTTGGTTTCTCCATGTCAACACTCTCATTGAACTCTGGATACCTTCTCTTAGAAGTGCCATCATTGTCAGACTCGTACGGGCTATGTAGTTCATGTGAGTTATCACTATTAGGTCCTTCATTTTCTAGAATATTACTAGTAGGATAACCTCCAATCAAAATTGTAGCACCACCATCAAGCCCTAGATCCACCTCATCTTCAAAAAAGTCTTCGTAATCCTCCAATTCATTATCACTCTCCTCAAATCTAGATTCTTCATAATCTGGATCTTCATTATCACTATTGTCACTATTTTTATTGTTAACATCATCACTAGCATTGTCAACATTGTTCTCTTCATTTCTATCCCAATCATGATTTGACTTCACCTCCACATAAACATGTACATAATGATTAGAAGGTAAGTGTGCAACCATATCCATTACTGTTTTATCATCGATCATTTTGATAAGACCATCAATAAGTTTCAAACCTGGCTTTAACCAAAAACAATCCACATCTTCAATATTATGCCCTAATATCTCAAGCATGTCCTCTAATTCAAGCCAAGAAATCTTATCAACATTTATTAAGTCAACATAACTAACTTTTCCACCCTTATACTCTGTACCTTTCTTTTCATCATGCACTATCTTTCCTCCATGATGAATTACACATGTGAAGAATTTTGATTTATCAGCTGAAATAAATAAAGATATATTACAAGGATGTTTAGTTTCCAATTGTCACCTCACCAGCCTTTAAACACACAGAGTCAAAGAGTTGGGCTTCAATAAAGAACAACCAACCAACAAGACTAAACAAAAATGAATGAACTTAATTTACAAAACAAGCCTAAAAAGAAAAAAAATGAAAAATGACATTAATTATATTCTTGAGATATCCAACGATGTATGAACCCCATATAAGCTTGAAATCAACATGAAGTAGTGACAGACTAATTAATTGCAACAGTTTGTCTTTCCAAACAAAAAAATTTATTGCCTTAAATCTTTAAGTTTCAATTGATAATAAACTATGTAAGGGAATAAATAAAGTCTACCCCTAGCTAAAAAGAAATAGTTTCTCCATTTTAATTTTTTGCCAATTCTACTTGTGAAAATAAAATTTTGATGCAAAGAAGTGATGCATGTTTCATGGTGCCACATTAACAGAACACCTAAAATTGATCACAGTAAGATAGAGAAAGCAAAACATATTGATGCAACACAATAGAAATAAAGAAAAGAAATAAGTCAACCCAAAAAGCAACTCGATTACTATTTTCATGGGCAGTTGCAACAGACTTGAGTGGTAACACACCAATTAGACTTAATATAAATTACAACCTTTTGAGCATTAAAAAAAAAAAAAAGGACAAACTATAACCTTCTGCTCTTAAATTCTCAAGTTTTGGAGAAAAATAAAATTATTGAATTATATAAATCTACATCCCTAAAGTTAAATCTTGATTGTTTAAAAAATATGATGAATTTGAAAACACCATTAATCAAACTCAATACAAAAATCAATTACAGAAAACACAATGGTCCCATGACAGCCCCACTTATAGTAAAAATATGCACATACAACTATAAAGATACTAAATTCTCACTCAATAGATCTCACACAATCAAGAACGAAACTCTTCCAAATCAAGAACGAAACCCTTCCGAAAAGCACTAAGTTCCAAACAAAATATTAGATGGAGAAGTTAACAACTTACTGTAAATCGGATAATCACTTGTAGTTTTTCGAATGCGCCACATCCACTCAAAATATAGTTTTGAACCTCCTAAAGAATTGATTGGAAAGCCTATTGAGGAACGCCCAAATTCTAAGAAATTTCTAATTGAGAGATTCGACAAAATCCCTTCAAAACCTTAGAGTATTTGGCCAAGATTTTAGGTATTCAAGTTATGGTTGGATTTCACCCTTTAGTATTCCCGCTAGTGAGTGCCACCTTATGTTGTAATGCCATGTTAGATCTGATGTGGCATTTAACTTAGCCACCTTAACGGGGATTTAACATTTTCAGTTAATATTGACCGTGGGTGACTAACGGTTGGACAGCTTGGGAAGTTAGGTGACCATTTTGTTAGGTTTAGAAGTTGAGTGACGAAAAGGTTGATTTTAATAAAGTTGGGTGACCACCCATGAGATTCACCCGAATAATTAATAAAAGGACTAAAAAAATGAAGAATGAACTAAAAAAGTATATAAAAAAACTAAATGATAAAAATTATATAAAATATTAAAATTGAGGACTAAAAATGAAATTTATGCTTTTTAAGTTTGAATTGATTTGAATTGTAAGCGGCAATTCTACTAAAAAATGGAAGATTGACAAGAGACAGCTGGACGTGAGAACAGAGGAGGATCTGCGCGTTGGAAATTGCAGGGCTGGCCAAAACGACGTCGTTTTGGTCAGGAAATCTTTTTTTTTTTTAAATTCTTGCATATTGTACTGGTTAAATTTCGGTGTATCAGCCAGTATGCCGAAATTTCGGCTGGTACACCGAAATTTGACCGAAATCATCAAATTTTGACCGAAACGAAATCTTTTCTTACTTCGTTTCGGTCTATTCTTAAAACTGGTATATACCGGTCGTATCGACCGGTACGGTACGATATATACTTCTTTGGTACGGAGGGGGCACCGAAGGAGGGAAGAGAAGGAGGGGAAAGTAAATGAAAGGATATTATTGATGGTAATTTTGTTAGGATAGATAAAAAAATAGAGAAAAGAAAAAAAAATATTTTTATTTAATTAAATAATTT